CTCCAGCTTTGTGTACATTGACCAATATACCGGGTATGAACCTGGTTTCTGCATCTCCACCTGGTAGAGTTAAGAATATGAGAATCAAAAACACCAATGGTATAAAACTAAGAGATAGGCAGGCACCTATATCAAGAGACATGACATCGAGATCGGTTCCAGGAGTCATTGCTTGTCCTCCGGGTGTGGTAGGTAAGTAGGAAGTTGAGCTTGGTGTCATAGGACTTGGGGCATTAGCTGCATGAGAAAAGTGTGTGAGAATAAGATTCGTCAAAGCAAGAAACCGTTAAGGCATAAAAGGTAGTAGACAAAACCATTGTTTATTGGTGTTCCGGCATCTCTGTAACTACTACGACCAGGAGTACTACTACCCCAATCTGATCCAGGCGTAGCTGCTTCATATGGACTTGTTCCCCATGATCCCGGGTTCCCATCTTCCCAGTTATCCCTGAGACACAACACCATATTTTGGTTTGAGACACTTGCTCAGAATGTGAAATATTTATGGGAATAAATGAAGAGTGGCCATGTTAAAGTACCTAGGAGGACTCATAGGCATGTAAGGATTCCAAGCTCTACCACGCATAGGTGTCCTCATTCCATCATGGATAGGTGTAGCTGAATTTTTTACATAAACATATCAAACATGTTGTCAAATGAGAAACAAAAACACAAACAAATGATTGGATCTTGAAACTGCGAAATTAAGGTGACAAACCTCCAGAATGCCGCATTGGAGTCCGGGAAGGATGCATAGGAGTTTGGCTTCCCATATTATACTGCGGGGTTGCGACTACATTATCAGTCATATCTGATATCGCCTTCCGCTCAACTGTTCATACAAAAAGAGTTAGAATTCATTCAACATTCAGCAACCAGCTGTGAATAGAAGTGAAATTACAGTGGAGCTTGCCTGTCACAATCTTGGCCTCAAGTTCCACACGCACTAGCTTATCTTTGACTTCAACTAAACGCCCACTATATCCCTTGAAAGGCCCCAGACGAATTTTGACATAAGTACCTACCAAATGATCGTCACCCCTTCTCCCTCGTCCACCCTGATGTCTCCCTCCAGCTCCAGCTGCAGTAAACGAATGCATTCTAAGTTACGCATAACAGTTTCAGACTAAACCTATTTACAAGTCATACGTAGGGGGGCCCCTCTTTAACATGCACTGGACGAGTCAAGAATAAAGAACCAAAATAATACGAAGAAATCTGACATACGGTTATATCCCATGTCTGCCCGTTGGAATCTCCTTGGAGATGGAGGAACCAGGGCTGGTGTCTTGAAATTGCCACCAGCAAGAACACAAGATGAGCATCTAGTGCAGATAAATCCAGTGTGTTCAAGGTTATGCCGGTCATGTATAAACAACACTCCTTTGTAGATTTGCACCACTGGACCTTGTTTACCCTATCACAAATATATAAATCGGTATAAGACTTATCAAATGATATTTAAAGAGTTTGCTAACAAAAAAACGACCAGACTGCAAAGGAACTCACTTTGCTAGGACCGTCAATGACCCTGACAACATCTTTCACCGCGACGACATTTTTGTAACGGTCTTGCACATTGATTTTCTTCCAAATTTTGTATTTTATTTCGCTGGCTTTGACAATAGAGACCTCTGAGCTGTCAGGAACCCCTTTAAGAATCTGAAATAAAATGGAGTTACAGCAAATCTTGAAATAAATAATAACATTATAGCATTGACATGATAAGAGGCATTTGTATGATTGGTAAGTTACCTGGATAGCTTCACTATCAAGTTTTAGGATTACTCCAAAGCTAAAGTCACTGCATCGTGTAATATAAAGCTATCATACCGATAGAAATGATATCAATTAGAGGTGGTTGGGCGCATTCAACTTACCTTAGAATCACAAGATCATGAAGTTCATAGTCCCCAATTTTTGTGACACCTTTAGTCACTTCTGCACTCTTGGCAACATGATCAGCGAAGACGCAAATCTGCATATAAAATATCATCCCCATGCGTTATATTACCCTTGTCAGAAATTAACACACAACTTAAACAAAATATGCCTTACATGTTCTTTGGTTGTATCAGACAGAATGATAAGCATATGCTGATCAACTTTGACAATCATGCCAGTTCCTCCTTCATGGATGCCAGACACAACCTTCACAAAATTTCCAGGTTCAAAGTATTTACAAAGCTCTCTCCCATTAACCGCAATAGGATTCTGCAACAGTGAATACAGTCTTTTACTGGCTACAACATTTTAGCAACAAATATGTTGTTTATGAAAAGATGAAGATTTTGGATACTTACAGGAAGATCTTTCATCTCTGATCTGATAAGGACATTCTCTTCATCTACTTTCTCAATCCAGCCCTTCAAGTTTTTAAGATCCCCCTTGATCACAATAACCGCATCACCTTTCATGAAATGACCCTTCTTTCTATTTGCAAATAAAGTCGACTCATCAACGAAGTCGATCTCCCCATTTTCATTTGGTCTCTTGAATCTTTCAAGTTCATCGAAGGTTGGTGTTACATTCTGAGCAGCAATGGACTTCGTCGATACTTTCTTGTAAAGAAAACCATCTTTGAAAAGCATTCCACCGATATTCTCAAAGTAGTCACCCGTCATTGGATCACGCCGGTGCTCAACACGTATGTGAAGTTCCCTATAATCACGTTACAAATACTGATAAATCATAACCAAAGAACACAATTATTGCTTAGAAAAACATAGGATAGTTTCACCAGAAGTCTGGAACAGTACCTTGCCTCATCAATGTTCATGAAACGTGGAGGTGGAGCAAAAGCTTTCTTCTTGACATTCTCTGTTCCTTCCTACATATACCCTAAGTATATAAGATAGGAAGAAGTATGTTTCACAATACACAGCATTTGTTACACTTAAGTATAAAAAGGTCGTATACCAGCTTATTGGCTAGAGCCTGCAGATCAATTCTTGGGATCAACTTGACTGTGACCCTCTTACGTACATTATCAACATCAACCACCTGTACCAAACTTAAATTTCAGAAAGGTTTCAGAGAACTCTGAACACTTAAAACACATGAAAAATGGATCGTACCTGAGCTAGATCACCCTTATATATCCCAAGTTTCATTCTAACCCACGAGTCACGGGATAAATCGATTGCTTTACTCTCGACAGAAAGAACAGCAGTCATTTCTTTTATGGGGACAAGCAAAATCTTCTGATTAGCATAAATATTCCGCATGCCCTTGATAGCCTATACCACAGAGGAAAATATATCATCAAACTATAGTCAAAACATCAAAATATTGCTACGAAAACAGGACAAACCATAAAAATACCTCTTTCACATGAGCTTCCATATCCGCTTCAATATATACATAGTTTTGAAGATGATCAAGAGCAATAGCAGATCTAATCTTGAACTCTGATCCTCTATCTACGATTTTTTGCATAAGACAAACAGCAACTTCTCTTTCACGTCCAATCTGTGATTCCATTGTAAAACATCAGTGCTCTGAATTGAATCAAACATCCAAGTTAAGAGATAACAAGAAAGAAATCATACCGCACATTTCACCAGCCACAGTTTAGGGTCACGGACTGATGGCAAAAGCGCTTGTTGATCAACGTCGTTAACATCATCAAGCTCATAATCATCCTTTGCATATTTCGTAGACAATCTTTCCAAAGTTCTCTTTTCCAACTCGTCGACATCTTCTTCATGAGGATGAAACCCCCGTTGGTAATATTGCCTACGATGATCAGAATCCTCATTAGGAAGGTCAGCTTCACCACTTACAATGAAACCTGCAAATTCATAGTCAAAGGAGATGACTTTGTGATATTCTTCTACTTCAAAATCAATAAAAACTGGAACTTTCGAATTCAATCAAGGAATTCAACAAAGAGAAAAATCCCCAAATTTCAACTGTTGCTTACCGTCTTCAACGTCCACATCATCATCGTCGTCTTCGACGTCGTCATCTACCTCAACCTCCCAGTCAATGAAGGCGGAGCCCGAAGACTTCTTTTTACTCCCTCGCCGACCATCGGAATCTGAATTTGATCTTCCCCTTTTCTTCCCTGATCTTCCTTTGCGGCTACTTCTGGGTTCATATTCGTCTTCTTCGTCCTCATCCTCCATCTCCGAGTCATCTTCATGTGAATAATCGTCGTCTGAGTACTGAGACATGGTTCGATTACAGAGAAACTAGGGTTCCGATTAAAAATACCCAAAATCTAGAACATCGCGAAATATCCTCGCTCTTACTCGAGTCGAGAAAAACCCTAAAACCCCTGAAGAATCGAAAGGAGCAGACTTTTTCGCTTCTCGCTAAATTGCAAATTCTAACGCATGAAATTTTATCAAATTGTGAATTGCCGCTTACTCAGTGTACTTATATAGGATGTGGTATATTTTATATTCCCATTTTGCCCTTTCTTTAATTTAACCCAGTCATGGTTCACTAAGCATTGATTTCGGTTTACCAGTTTCTAACCATAAATTCTAAATCCTCCAATAAATAAACAACCATGACCAAGACAAGCCAATTCTCATATGCGTGGTTTCTGCCACGGCCATGGAATCGGTCTTTTGATCAAACAATGGACCAACCATAAACTTTGCCGCATACAAATCATAATTCTGATCCAACATAAACATACTAAGCTAAAGTCGACAAAGCTAAGTTTTTTTTTTTTAAGTTTTAAAGTTTAGTTACATAACCAATGTTTCACTGACCCGCTTGATGCATATATAGAAGAATTCATTACCTTCATGCATCTACTGATCGCCACGAGGAAAGAGTTTGTGACCATCGATCTTTTCTAATACAACATCTTTGAAACATAACAAAGACACATTGATAGATATCGTTCAATGATTTTCTTGAAAGTTAGAACTTAGAATCGTCGATTTCGACGAGTTTGATCCAAGGGAACTAGTGTCCACTTGGACTCAAAAATTAAAATCTTACTAACCAAAAACCAACAAATTAATATAAAACATTGGCGCAAGAGAATTACCGGGCAAATCTCCTTTGGCAGAGAGCTCACCACAAACATTTATGCATATGATGCAAGAATGAAGTAATAGATCTCTGCCAATGGTGATCTTACCCTGTAATGCATATTCACCTTCTCTATGTATTTTTCATCTCTCTACTGCAATAATTATATGTGTTGTGTTTATATATAACATTGCAATAAGCATATTCAATGGCACTATCCTTCCAATCTAGAATAAAATCTCTCTATACGTACGTTTGTATAATTTTATAATTTAAGATGATTAATATTCGAGAATTAAACTTTTGACTTGCCAAAAAGTTTGACAAAGACAACTTGTAAAGGTTTATACTCTAAAAATGGAATGATCCGTGGTATTGTCCTCTCCAGAGTTTTATTTTGGAAAAACTCGCAAACTTTTGCTTCTTAACTTTCTCTTTTTGCAATGTTAAGTTTATTTACTTTGAATTTTGCTAGATAGTAGTAAAATAATGAGTTTAACAAGAAAAACATTGTAGCACCCAATCATAGCAGAAACATAGCCTTTGCGAGCAACTACAAATGATTATGAACCAATCAACCTAAGACATAAATTGTTTATTGTATAGTTTTGGCAAGTGCACATTTTTCTCTTGTTCATAAAAAATAGTTCAAACTTTTATGAAAACTTAAGTACGAATATTGTTATTATATAAAATCAGTTATACAATTAAGTCAACTTTACCATTGTGGTATAAAGTCTTATTTTTTAATTAGTCCATAGGTAGAATATAAATTCAAATAGACAAATACTTATTTAAAAATAATAAAAATGCTTGTATATATCCTATTCTTGTAGCACCTTTGGAGATTTTATGATTTAGGTTTGAAAAGGCCAAATATCAAAGTTAGATGCGTCAGGTACTGGCAGCATATTCAGTAAGTATATCCAACTAAAACAAAACTTGCATGCTATTGTAACTGATCATTAGCTATTTGACAAATCACATAAGATAATATATACTGGCTTTAGATTATAGATAACCGTTTTAAGTTTTTTACTTAGCAAGATCTATACTAATCATGAGAGATGTCACCAGCCAACGAGGATCAATGTCCAAATGCATAGTTATTAGCAATCGATTCTCGGTTTTCACAAGATATAGATCAAACCTAAAGATCCTTAAAACCATTTTGTTACGATAATTATTTTGTAAAATGAATCATGTTACATTTCTTAGTATTTTATGATAAAAATTTGTAAACCGTTATATCGTTTTAACTTGATTGTGGAACTTGGGTTTTCGGATTCTCATTAGTTTAGCATTCTTTGACTATGTGTGTGAAAGCCTCTAACGAAGAGATAACGTCCAAATCAAAAGAAAGGAGTTAATTTGAAGAGGCTCTAGTAAAATCTTTTACAATTATCAAATTACAAAAGTATATGAGCTGCCTCAAATAACACTATTAAATGAAAATATTAGCTACTAGATTTGGACATTGGAGAAACGAATAACCCCATAACGTTAGTGAAGCATTGCGAGGCAAATCTCCTTTGGCAGAGGAAAATGATGAGAAAATAACATATAAGAGTCATCAACTTCCACTGCCAATAGAGGATTCGCCCTGTAATGCTTTCTACCAAGAAATAATCTCAGTTTTCCTCTCTCACTTTATTGCTTCAAAGGAAAAACTCAAACTATGTAATGTATATGTAAACCTTGATATAAAGAGCATATGCTATGGAACAATTTCCTATCAAAACATGAATCACAAAACTTAATATACCATTTACTAGCCTGGTAACTTCTGAAAGCAGAAGCATGAGGACCGCATGAAGGGGTCTTTAGGATTATACTAGACACATATGCTCTATGAAACATGGGATGTGCCAGAGAATATGCTTTCTATACGCATTCATTCACTATATAGAAACACTTTCATCAACTATATATACATACTTTGCTAGTCCAACTTCCAATAACTCAAAATGCAATGTGAAATATGAAGAATATATTAAATAGTAGTGAAGATGCATGTTTATGAAGACAGGGAGATAATGTATGGTTGGATTACTGGGCGAATACTCCTATGGCAGATCGCATTGGCTAGATATGCAAGTAAAATGCTTCTCTGCCAAAGGAGATTTGCCCCGCAATTCATCCCATGCAAAACAATATATCTTTCTTTATAGTCTCTAGGCAATTTATGTTTATATTTCTTGGTTATCAGGTTTTATAGATCGAATCCTAGATCAATCTTGGAATCTAAAACTACCATGAAAGGTCTCTGTTGGTGAGTGTCTCTCAAAAGTACGAGGCATTAATTTGAATGTTTCTATGTTATGATAATGTTTTTTTAATTCCCCCTTTCATACAAATATTTTTATCCTTCTTCAGAACATATAAATAAGTATTTCCATTTGATTATGGAAGTTATCGTGTCTTCAATCCTAGTGAAAAAAAAAAGAGAAAAACGCGTGAGTCACGTGAGGTCATGCACACACTCTCTAAAATTCTCATACGGTTCTCGAAGAATAGCACAATCGTCGACAAGATTCTCAAAATAGTAACACAATCGTCTTTCATCACTGTTCTTATGAGATTCTTTCTTTCTTCTGTTGGTTTATGATTTATATTTTTTGTTTCACAAATTTTGAGTTGCACTTGTTGTTGTTGATTGATTGCGAGGAAAGAAAGAAAGAACCACATCTAAGAAAATCAAATATAGTGTCATCAACCATTCCTTATAGTCAATACTTAATATGTAATTTGTAAATCATGTCAATGTAACTATATTTCACTCAAGATTTTAAATCTTTCATTTTGAAACTAGAAAAACAATTTTTCCCTCACGAAAAACTAGGATGTTTATGGCGTGGACCAAAGAAAAATGATGAAAAATAGGTTTATTAGTCCAACGGCAATATAAGAGGTCAATGTTAGTATATGGGCCTATAATTCTATTAACCACATTGGCCCATATATAAGGCGTATAATGAGCCCATGTGGGGGATTACAAGCAAATAACCAATAGATGTACGAAATTGCCCCTTCTCCAAAGAGATGCAAAACAAGTCTCAAAATGGTTTTGTTCTAATAGTTAAGAGTCAAAATCTAGTAATCTACAGTCAAAACTCTAAATTGTCCATCTGTTGGACTATGAATCAGAATTTGATCTAAGAATTTTGATTCTATCATCTCTTTTCCATATAATCTAGATTCAGAATCAAATGATAAAGTTACCAACAGATATACATATTCAAGTGTTTTGGTAGTAACCACTAATCTTTTTGAAAAACCAATGAAGCAAAAGGATAGTGAGCAGAAAAACCATAAAGATGCAGCAAGATTGTCCTCTTCCTCGTCTTCTTCTCCCATCCAATGTATTGTCTCTTTCGCCGCTCCAATCCTCCATCAACCTTACTGTAACATTCTTCGCTGTGCAACCGCAGATTTCACACACACTGCCAAGAACACCAAACAAAAGCACCGAGTTTGACTTAATGTTGAATCTTGTCCATTAGTCCATACTCTTACTAAGCTAATAACAGTCGAAGATATTGAATTCATTACCTGTTTCCTCTTAACTTGAACCAGGCTTCAGCGCAATGGAAATGTGCAAGGCCAAGCTCGTTTTTACATTTGCAACCAATCTCAATCAACTCCGGACTTACTGACTTATCATCACCAGAAGCCTCAGGTGATTGATCAGAACCAAAATGACAAATCCTACAGATTCTTTCTCCTACACCACTCAAATCAATAGTGTGGAACTCCTTCGCCTTTGCTTTCGATATATCACTCTCTGCCTCGTTGCAGCTTACCGCAGTAACATTATCCGCAACTTCCTCATGAACAACATGAGCTGAAATGTTACTACTGCAACTAACACCATCTTTGGCCATTCTTGAATCATTTTCTTTTCCCTGTTGTGGTTTCTTTACATCTTCCTCTTCCTCAATCAACACCTTTTTTGATACAGAGTCACTGGTCTGACCCTTAACATCACTCGAATTCTCACAACTTTTAGGGTCCATTTAATTCATATATACAACAAAAGAGGATGGCTTTTGCTCAAGTTCCTACAAAGTCCAAGATCCGTAACCTCTTAGTAAGATTGTATTCAGATAAAGAGCCAACAGAAACAACATTCCAATAATTGAAAACCCTGTAAAATTTCTTGAAACCATAAGAACTTCAATTTACTGGTAAAGATATAAAAAACAAAACCTTACCCAGAATCCAGATCCACCTCAAAAGACCCACTAGCAAGAAAAAGCTACGAACTTTAAGGTTTAAGCAGCGTCAGAGAATCTGGGGAACAACAAAACACAAAAAAGGTTTATATTTCAGCTTTATGGCTCAGATCTTTCAGCAAATGGAGAAACACAATCAGCTTTATGTCTTTGAGAAACGTATGTATGCTCGGCGTTAAGAGTTACCTGCAAAATATCTAAAAATCTCAGCTGGCTCTCGATTGCAATTTCCTTTTACTTTAACTCTCACTTGCCGTTTCAGTTTTGTCTTTCTATAAAACTGTGTGTTCCATTTTGGACAGTACAACCAAAACCCATTTGTGTATGATTTTTGTTTTAGCTAATGAAAGTCCCTTACTTTTGGTAAGCAGAAGAATGTTTGGTGATGATGAGAACAACTATTATCAACTCTAATTCAAACCAATTATGCAAAATTCACTGTTTACGATTAACAAAAAAATAAATTTGGAATAATCATTGTCATCGAAAAATATTACACTTGAACTTTGAGGAAAAAAAAAACAGAACTTCACAAATCTCTAGCCATTTGAGAATATCTTGTAAAATAATAATGTCTATAATTATTTTTCCAATTTTTACCAATTTCTTGGTCATCTAATCCTTACCCTCTCAAATAAATTAAGTTTATAGAATATAGTTATATATATATATATCAAAGTAGTATTATCTCAACCATTTAGTCCTTAATATTTTTGTATCTTAAACCAACTAATATTGACACATGTTTGCATTGCAAGAAATATAAATATAAACCTTAAATGTGTGTGTATAATAATAATAATATAAGCTTAAATGAAAAGAAAACAAAATAAAAAACAATAGAAAAAATCTTTGAAATAAAAAAGTAATAAATTTAATATATACTTTAGCTAAAATAACAGGACCATGGTATATCATGTAAATAAACAAACTAAAAATTTAGTTGAATTAAATTATATAAATAAGATTAATATAATCTTAGACTTAATATATAGGAGTAGTTTAAGAAAACTTAATATGTAAACTTGTTTTGAATTATTGGTGGCAGTCGTCATAAATAGAGAGAAATGTAATTCTTGTTGGCCGATAAAGGTGAACCTACTAAACCGGTGAAACCCATTAAAGACTTCCTGAATCTAAAAAAAGTAAAAACTAAACTCGTAAACTATCCAAATACGAAAAGCAAAAAAGAATCTGTAATAAATGGTGTAGATTGGAAACCCATTTTGGAAGCAGCTCTGAAGTCTATATGACATGTTGCCACCAACTCAAATTAGACCCTTAAGAGTAAAGTGTTATGATATTGGAATGCTCCAAAATATGATCTTTATGGTGATCCTAATGGGTGGTGGTTATCCATTAGATAAAGAAAAAAGAATGATTCTTATAGATTAAATAATACTTGGGGTGATTATATAAATCACACACAAACAACACAATTCTGAGTAAAAAAAAAGAGAGTAAAACTTTCTATGAAGGAGGGAAGAAACGGTTGAGGTTGAAAGGGAGAGTGTAGAATTCCTCATTCCTGCTATCTCCTTTGAAAGTTCTGAACTTAGCCCACCAAGGCAATCCTCTGTCTCTCGCGGTCTCTTTATAGTCCAGAGTGTTGTCCAAGAACACTGCCACCATCAGTGCGACCATTGGTGAAGATAAGAAGATTGTGTTCAAGAAATCATTGAACCAACCAGCATTGGTGTGAGCTGGGCCGTGTAATGCTTTCATGCTGAAATCTCTGAAGTATTCGGGGATCGATAATCCTAAGAAGAGAGACACACCGACGATGAAGAGATTTCTCAGAGAGTTCATGTTTGTGAATTGCAGAAAAGAGAGTCCAACTGAAGCAACAAGACCAAACAAGACGCAGTACACAGCTGCAAATATCGTGAAAGGTATTGAAGCGAACAATGCCCCGAATTTGCCTAGCATTGAGAAGAATATCATAAATCCTGCTGAGATTTGGATAACTCTGCGGCTTCCAACTCTGGTGCTTCCTAGTAATCCAATGTTCTCTCTGCAGAATTTGTAACAATCAAGAAATCAATGAGACTAACTTGTCCAACTAATGGAGAAAATGCTTTGAAAACATTCACAATTACACTTACACAGAGACACTTGAACCGCTTAGTGTTCCAAATAAACCGTTTAAGAGGATCCCAATGCCTTGCCAGCCTATTCCACGGCTAAGAACATGAGGTGGAGGAGGCGTAGCGCTAGCCAGTCGTGCAGCAGCTTTGAAAGCTCCAGTTGACTAATCACATTTCAATTCTTTTAGAACATTCTATGCTGAGACAAGAGTAATAATCTGATACAGAGAGACATTATTACCTCAATGAGTGAGACTAAAACAGCGGCCATCATAGCAAAAGCATGACCAGCAT